AGCACCGGCCGCGAGGTCACCTGCTTTGTGCCCGGGGAGGGACACAACCTGCAGGAGCACCACGTGGTGCTGGTCCAGGGCGGCCGCACGCAGGACCTGCCGGGGGTCAAGCTCACCGTGGTGCGGGGCAAGTACGACTGCGCCCACGTGCAGAAGAAGAAGTGAGGGGACACCCCAGGGTGGTCCTGGAGGGGTGGGCAGACAGCCCTGGATCGTGTCCTGGGACCACCATCCGTCTGACTGTGTCCACCTCTAGAGGAAGAAATGATGGGGGAGACCCCAGGGTGGTACTGGAGGGGTGGGCAGACAGCCCTGGATCGTGTCCTGGGACCACCATCCGTCTGACTGTGTCCACCTCCAGAGGAAGAAATGATGGGGCAGAGCCAGGGGTGGTGGTTCTGGGGGGTCACACAGCCCTGGAGAGTGGCCCTGAGGGGTCCCACAGCTCTGGATGGTGCTCCTGGGGGTCCCACAACCCTGGATGGTGTCCTGGGGGTCTCACAGCCTGGCATGGTGTCCTGGGAACACAGGGCCCCAGGGTGGTGGTGCCAGGGTGGGGGGGACACTGTCCCTGTGGCTTCCTCGCATTAAAGGTTGTGGATGGTGAGGGGTGTGGTGTGAAGTCGTGTTGGGGGCACTGGGAGGGGAGATGGGAAGGGTTGAGGGCACTGGGGGACCCTGGGGGATGCACTGTTCGGGTCACTCAGGGGTTCCCTGGGGGTCTCTGTGGGCACTGGGGGTCCCTGTGGACTGCACTGTCGGCGTCAGCCTGGGGGGCTCTGAGGGTCCCTGGGGATCTCTGAGGGGGTCTCTGAGGACACAGGGGGTCTCTCAGGTCCCAGGGGGTCTCTGAGGACACGGTGTCTCTGTGGTCTGCACTGTCAGGGCCAGTCAGGGTGTCCCTGGGGGTCTCTGAGGACACTGGGGCTCTCTGTTGTCCCTGGAAGTCCCTGGGGGTCTCTGAGGTCACAGGGGATCCCTGTGGGATACACTGTTGGGGTCAGTCAGGTGGGCACTGGTGGTCTCTGAGGACACTGGGAGTCCCTGGGGGTCTCTGAGGTCCCGGGGGGGGGTCTCTGTTGTCCCTGAAGGTCCCTGGGGGGTCTCTTGTCCCTGGATTTCCCTGGTGGTCTCTGTTGTCCCTGGGGGTCCCTGGGAGTCCCTGGAGGTCTCTATTGTCCCTGGGGGTCTCTGTTGTCCCTGAAGGTCCCTGGGGGTCTCTGAGGACACTGGATGTCCCTGGTGGTTTCTGAGGTCCCTGGGGGTCCCTGGGGATCTCTGTTGTCCCTGGAGGTCCCTGGGGGTCCCTGAGGGTCTCTGAGGACACTGGGTGTCCCTGGTGGTTTCTGAGGTCCCTGGGGATTTCTGTTGTCCCGGGGATCCCTGGGGGTCCCTGATGTCCCTGGTGGTCTCTGTTGTCCCTGGGGGTCCCTGGGGGTCCCTGATGTCCCTGGAGGTCTCTGTTGTCCCGGAGGTCCCTAGGGGTCCCTGATGTCCCTGGAGGTCTCTGTTGTCCCTGGGGGTCCCTTCCCTGATGTGAGGTGTCTATTGTCCCTGGGGGTCCCTGATGTCCCT